CCGTGCTCATCTCTTCTCCATGCGTGAGTGCCCCCTGCACGCCCCCACCCCTGCCTCCCTGCCTCCCCCCACCTCCCGCCGCCCCCTTCAGAACCTGGCCGACTGCCTGTCCCAGAGCTTTGAGGCGCCGCTGGAGTCTTGTGAGGACAAAGCGGGGCTGCACACATTCCTGGTGTACAACCACAGGAGGAAGGTGGGCGGGCACACCGGCTGCGGGCACGTTTGTTGTCTTTGCATGGGCGGGCGCTGGCGCGGCTGGCCGCGCGCGGCCCTCTGCCCACCCGCCCGCCGCCCCCTGCTCCTCAACTTGCCCCTCAGGTCACCTCCTCCGCCAAGCGCAAGCTCAAGCCGGGGTCCACCCGGCTGCACCAGACCCCCGACGGATCCTTCTACGACCTGCAGCGCAACGCAGCAGACCTGCTGGCCAACCACTGCGGCTGGGCCGTGCCGCAGGCGAGCGCCCCGCCGCGCTGCGGCAGCCGGCGGGGCGTGCTGGCATGCGGCGGGCCCCCTTGCTGCCTGCGGACCTGCTCTCACGTCCCCTGCCCCCGCCGACGACGCCCCACACCCATCAACACCCACCCACCCACCCGCGCGCCCTGGGTGCAGGTGGGCAGCGTGGTGGAGTACCTGGAGCGCGGCCCCGGCTTTGTATTCCTGGCGCACCCCGCGCTGGGCCCGCTGTGGCAGGTGGTGGGCCAGAAGCTGCGCGGGGGCAGCCTGGCGCCCCGCGCGGAGCTGCAGCTGGAGGTGGCGGAGGCGTGCCTGCGAGATGTGCATGTGTGCGGCAGCCTGCGCGTGATGGCGGATGCGGTGCTGGGACACTCTGAGATGCGGCCCGTGGAGCCTGCAAGCGGCGGTGGCTCCAGCGGCGGCGGGCAGGGCGGCGTGGGCAGCCACCGCACCACGCTGCTGGACAGCCTGCTGCGCTCCGCAGAGCCCGCCAACGGCAGCGGCAGCGGCAGCAGCAGCAGCCTGGGCAGCTCGCTCCGCCTGGTCGGCGCCTCTGCCGGCAACTCCCAAGGCGGCAACGGCGGCGAGGAGGGCTACAGCCAGCCCTGCACCTTCCCGCCGCCAGGCTGCGACCCGGGGGCCCCGCTGGAGCCTCGCCTCGTGTACAGCGAGCGGTGCGGCCGCCTGCGCCTGCACAACGTGCGGGTGGAGAATGCGGGGGTGGACTGGGAGCACCCGGGCAACGTGTGGTGGAGGCACAGCCTGGCCCGCACCGAGAGCTGCCAGATACTGCTGCACGGCGCCAGCGGTGACCGGGGCAGGGTGGGGCGCCAGCTGACCGCTGCCGGCGGTGTGGCTGGAGCCAGGCATGCGCCGCTGGTGCTGGGCCCGCCCCGGGCGCCCCGCCCAGATCCCACACGCCTAGTGTGACGCTGGCACCACCGCCGCTGCCACCCCCGCCTCCCCGCCGCAGAGTTTGAGGCTCGCGACGTCACGCTGGCCGGCAACCTGGTGTTTGAGGTGCCAGACGGACACCGCATGCTGGTGACGGCTGGGCCCGACGGCGAACTGCGCAGGGAGGTGCGGCCGCTGGAGCGGCCCAGCTGGCGGTGGCGGTACCGCCTGGGCGCCGAGGGCCAGGTGCAGCTGGACCTGCTGGAAAGTGGCACAGACGGCAGCAGCAGCAGCCCAGGCGCCGCCGCCGCCGCCTCGTGAAGCCGCTTCCCCGCGAGGCGCCTGATGCTGGGAATGCCGCGGCGGCGCCCCGCTGGCAACTTAGGGCATCCTGCTGCCATTACTTTCCCTCCTGAATCCCCCCCGAGTGTGTTGGAAGGCAGGCTGGCCGCCTGCGTGCCCCCTGCCATCCCGCTATAGGATCCACTGATTCCTCCACTGGCCCCGCACTACAGTTTTCCTGGCGGCTGCGCCGTATGCTTCACGGCCGGCTCGCCCTCTGCACCTGCTGGGACACAATTTCATGACTGCCGCACTCCCCTCTCCCCACATTGTTCAGTTGTACTCATATTCTGCCTGCTTGTGTGCGTGCAACCTTTTGTGCATTCTGTGCCCCTGTGCCTGTTCAGTGTGACAGCAGCCGATTGCGCACCGTGTGCTGCCTGATTCTTTTGCAAATCATCTTTTGGGCTTGCCATCCACTCCCTGATGATCTCTTTTGCATTAACGATCCTTTTGTAAACCAGCGGGGATGGGTTGGGGTCAATATAGGTGACAAAAACAGTGAAGGTAAAAATGCGCTCGCGCGGTCATCGAAACAGTTCAACCACATGACAGGTGCTGGTCACAAATGCAACCAGCAAAAAATCACAAAGAGAAAAAAATGTGCACCTTTGGAACGAAACATTGCAGGGGTGGTACCGGTACCGCAGTACATGAAACCAATCGCTCCGCCGCTGCACGCGCAGCAGGTCCGGAAGAGAATTGGACCCCGGGGAATGCTGGTGCCCCTTGGCAAGGGCAGCTCATGCATATGTTTTAACCACAACCACTCCCCCGGCGACCGACTCGACATAGCTGATGAAGGGTGTGCCCCGGTAGAACCTGAGGTTGAGGTTGGTCACCGTCGACAGGGAGAAGCCGGCCCGTGGCCCCACCGCGCTCCAGGTGGCGCTGCCCTTCTCCTTCTTGTACACGCATGCCTGCAGCGCATCGTGTGCCAACATACCTGGCAAGCACTCTCAGCCGTTGGGCCCTGCAGGATGCAGGGTTACTGGCTGCGCTGCTGCCTCCAAACGCTGCCGGACCGGCAGCAGGACATTCAGCCCTGACGCCGTTCCGCCAGCCGATCGCTTGGCAGGCAGCCAGCCACCCACCCCACCCCGGCCCACCTTGCCCTGCTGTCCGCACTGCATGGCCACATACGGCATGCCGTCTGGGCCGAGGCCGATGCTGGTGTAGAGCGAGTTGCGGCCGCCAAACCCAGAGGGCCCCACCGCCCTCCACGCCGTCGAGTAGCTGGTCACCGTGACGTTGTCGTACGCCAGGCGGGCAGCACCGGCGGCATCGCCCCGGAACGCAACGTACAGCCCCCGGGTTGGGTGGATCGCCATGCTGATGCCCAGAGCCTGCACGGCATACGGGGCCAGGCGGGTCGTGAGGTGGCGACGTCAGGGGCATGAGCCCCTGACCAGCGGAGCCCAGCAGCCCGGTTCGGAGATTGCTGGCATGCAGATGGGTGGACGCAAGAAAAAAGCAGCGGGCAGCAGCCGGCACAGCGCAGGCTTGCCGAGGAGGCTGAGAAGGCGCCGCCGACGGGCTGCCAAGCTCCGCCCGCAAACTTCACGACACGCCCCTTGGGCTCAGCAGCGCTGAGGTCCTGCATGCACAGACCCCAGCCGCAACAGGCGGTGAGGATGGAGGGTGGAGGCTCTCAGGCTGGCGTGCATCAGGGCGCAAGCCATGCACGACGCACTGGACGCTAGGCCCCTCCTCAGCCCCTCCCACCTGGAACGCCAGGTGCACCACGCCGGCGGGGGAGATGGCCAGGGCGAGGTTGTCGGCGGCGCCTGGGGTGAGCCCCCGCACGCCCAGGTGGCGCCACTGGGCATTGGAGTAGTGCATGGCAGTGGCCTGCCCCGCCCTGCCCGAGTCCTGCATGCGCCAGGCCAGCAGCTGTACACATGTGGCGAGCAGGCAGGAGAAAAGGAGGGCACAGCAGCAAGCAGGACACATGGGTGGCTTGCCTGGAAGGCCACCACCGGCTTGGCCTTGGGGTCCATCGCAAAGGTCAGGCCCGTGGCGACGCCCGCCGAGAAGGCGCGCTTGCCCAGGTAGCGCCAGGTGGAGTTGAGGTACACCATGACGCTGCACTGCCCGCCGCCGCGTATGTCTGCAAAGGCCGCATAGGGCCTGCCCTTGATGGTGGGGTGCAGCGCCAGCTGCGTCTGCCCCACGTCGCTGGCCAGCTGCCCCAGCCCCGTTGGCGGCCTGGTCACCACAAAGGTCCAGTTGCCCCTGCTGCTCAGGCGCTGCACCAGGGCGAGGTAGGTGTCGCCGCCGGAGGGGGCGGCGAAGGCCAGGTAGGGGCGCCCGCCGTCCAGCGTGTCCAGCTGCAAGCTTGGGCTCTGCACTCCGCTGATGGGCAGCGGGCTGTCCCCGACAAACTTCCAGGACTGTGGGCAGCAGGGGGCAGGTGCGAAAGGGGGGTGCATGGGAGCAAGCAAACGGCACGCATTATGCTGCGCCATGCCGCTGAGGCGAAGAAACCTTGCATCTGCATTGATTCATGAACTGACTTAATATTGATGCAAATGCAATACACCCTGTACCGTACCTGCCGCTGGCCGCGCACACCTGCAGCGGTAAGAGCAGAGCGGCGCTTGGCAGCAGAGCAGGCAGAGGCTGTGCCCTGAGCACGAACCGAGGCGCACAAGTTGTTGCGTTTGTTTGTCGCGGTGAACAGCACAACCTGCATGCTGCTGCGCGCACCTGCGGCGCACAGGACGACCCATACCAGCAGGTGGGTGGCCGAAAGGCTGCAGGCCATGGCTGTGTTCGCACGCAGCAGGATAGTTGGGGGAAGGAGGCAGGTGAAGGGAAGTGAGGGGAAACACCCAGTGGAGGTTGATCAACGGAGAGTGTGGAGGTGGGCAAGCAGAGACAGAGGGTGCCCGTGACTGGGGCGCGGGTGTGACTTGGAACAGCGTGGCATCCCGGTTGGCCACCCTGTGTGCAATTGTAATACAACACCCATGAGGCGATTGCAAGCGGTCTCGGACGGCAGCACTCTGCTCACCGATGCAGCTGTGTCAGCAGAAGCCAAAATTTTCGGGCTGTGGCGGCCCTGGAAGCCCAGGCCGACATCGTCTCAATAGCAGGTGGGATGGGTGATTGCAGCAGAGCGGCCTAAGAGAAGGGTTCTCAGAACAAGGGCGCTGTGGCGGCGGCGCCGCCAGTTGATCGCCGCCAGTTGATCGCGCGGGCCGCTGGCTAATCCGGATAGGCTCAAGCAAACTGATCTCCTTGCTCACACCACGCAACAGGGAGCCCCGTGAACCCGCTGTACATCAATGAGGCCGATAGCCTGCTCTTGCTACCCTATGACCAGCCCTGCTATGGCATGTACCTTCGCAAGTACCACGTTTTGTCAACACCTTGACCAGGCCCACCCTGCCGGTGTACCAATGCATGCTTTTGTTTACTTGCTCGTGGGCAGCTCATGGTAATGTGTACTCGGTAATGGGGCAGCGCAGCGCATGTCCGCTCCAACCCGCCTCACGCCTGCCCGGCCAGCACGCGCTGCGCGTACGAGGCCGCCCCCAGCAGCTGCAGGAACTCGTCGCTGCCGTCAACCAGGCTCTTGTCCGCCTCGCTCAGCCGCACCAGGATCTTGCCCTTGGCTGCACGGGGGCGCAGGGGGGGAAGGCGTGGAGGCAGGCGACGGAGGGAGGGGCAGGAGCCGTGCGTGCACGCGGCGTGTGGCCACCACAAAGCCGACGCCCACCTCCCCACCCACCCTGCCCCCGCCCGCCGCCACCCACCCGAGTCTGCCGCCCCTGCATCCTGCAGCAGCGCCGCCTGCAGCTGCAGCAGGATCTCCTGCGCCGGGTAGCCGTCGGCGATCAGGTCCGTCACCGCCGCCTGCACGCGCGCAAACTGCGGCGAGCGCGCCGCCGCCAGCAGGCCCTGCGCCGCAGACGGCGGCACCGACCCCGACACATCCAGGATGTGGCGGCTGCACGGGCTGCGCGGGCGGGCAGCCGTCCCAACCAGCCCGCCGAGCAGTCCGGCCGGTGGTGCAGCCTCCACCATCTTTGCACCGCAACCACACCACAACCACACCCACAGCCACCTCCACCACACACCACCCACCCCCAGCCGCACCCGCGCATATGTGGTTGATGCGTTCGTTGATGACGTCCCCCTGCAGCGGCTTGAAGCGGAACTTGGCGCAGCGCGAGGCCAGCGGCTCGATGATGCGAGACACGTAGTTGCAGATGAAGACAAAGCGCGTGACCCGGCTGTAGGTCTCCATGGTGCGGCGCAGCGCATTCTGGGCGTCCTGCGGCGGGGCGGCGGGGGGCGGGGGGCACAGGGGGCGGGAGAGGTGGGGCGAAACTGGTGAGAGGGGAGGCGTGGCAGGCAGGACGAGTTGATGTCGGCGGCGAGGGCGTGCCTCCCTCCCTGCTGCGCCTCCCTGCAGCCCAGCCCAGCACTGCCCAGCGCTGCCCAGCCCAGCCCAGCGCCTCCCTGCAGCCCAGCCCTCCTCCACCTAGCCTCACCCCCGTCATCGAGTCGGCCTCGTCAAGGATGATGACTTTGAAGGGCGGGCAGGGGTAGCCCGCCACGCCCTGCCCCACGCTGTTGGCCGCAAAGTTCTTGATCTTGTCCCGCACCACGCCGATGCCGCGCTCGTCAGATGCGTTCAGCTCCAGCACGCGCGCCTTGCACAGCTCGGGGCCAAACAGCTGGCGCACGATGGCCAGCGCGCTGGTGGTCTTGCCGGTGCCGGGAGGGCCGTAGAAGAGCAGGTGGGGCAGCTGCGGGGGGGCGGCGTGGGGGTGGCAGCAGGAGGAGCGCAGCATGAGCGAGACGGCGCCGAGTCTTGCAGGAGGCCAAACCAGCAAGCTCAGCACACCCCCGACTGGTGCCGTAACAATCGGTGCCGCCGCCACCGCCGCCACCGCCGCCAGCGAGCTCACGTTGCCGGACGACAGGGCGTGTTGCAGCGTCTGCACCACCTCCTCCTGATGGGCCACCTCTCCTATGCTCCGTGGGCGGCTGCAGGGGCCAGGAGAACGCCGGAGATCAGATGGCAGAAGAGCAAACACAAGAGGACACAGACAGCAGCCCGCACAACTAAACTCACTATTTCTCAACCCAGGGCTGATGGGCCATGGTGCCAGCGTCTCCTCTGCGGGTGGAGCGATCAATCAAACTGGGGGAGTGGGTTGCTGCGTTGTGCGGCCGATGGATGCGTCTGATCGAGGTGGCTGTGCAGCGAAGCAAAGTAGCAATCAGGCAATAGCGTTCAGTTCGCGACCTGTGTACCACACGCACTACAGAGGTTTCGTGAGCGTCTCGGTGGGCCTGGGCACCGTTTCTGCAGAGGCTGCATGCGCTACACATCATCTCTACAGCGCCCCAAGCCCCTGCAACTCTCCACAGCAATATGCCTCCCTCCGATGCGGCCGTGGAGGGCGTGAGCGGAGCCATCGGCGGTAGGCATTTGCTGTGTGCGCCGTCGCGACATGCCATCAGCGCCCCCCGCTGGTCTTGCCAACAACCTCTCCTACTGCTCCTCCTCCTACCGCGTGCAGGCATAGTGGCCACTTGCGTCACCTATCCCTTGATGACGGTGAGCCCAAGCTTTCTGCCGACACGCATCCCGCTGCAGTGAGCCGCGCCGCCGCTGCCGCCCCTTGCACGCCGCCCACCCGCCGTCGCCGCCACCCGCGCACAGGTCAACACGCTGCAGGCCATCCGAGCGCGGACGGCGCCGCAGGATGTGGAGGGTGGGGCCCCGCAGCGGCAGCCCCACCATCGGGGCACGCTGCAGGAGCTTGCCGAGGTGCGGCGCCGCCGGATGGCGTGCACTGCATTGCAGCCCTGCCCGCTAGCAGGCCGACTGGCGAGTCGCTGCGGCAGGCAGGCAGTGCTGCACGTAGGCAGCCACCCTCCGCCTCCGCCCATCCCCCCCCGGGCTGCTCCTGCCCCGCCCCCCAGCGCAGGTGGTGCGCACCGGCGGCTGGCAGGCGCTGTTTTCGGGGCTGGAGGCCAGCCTGGTGGGCACCACCATCTCCCAGGGCATCTACTTCTACCTGTGAGACCACCAGCTGTGCTGTCGCCCGGCCTGTGCCGCCCTGCCTGCCGCCCCAGCTGCGGTGTCACCCTGCCACGCTGGAGTGCCTCTGCATCTCCCGAGCTCGAGGGTTGGCGGTGGCCCCGGCTGCGCGGTGCACTCCCGGTGCACAGCCCCGCCCAGCGCCGCGGCCCCCCGGCCGCCCCCCGCCTCCCCGCAGGTACAGCCTGCTGCGGCGCCTGGCGGTGCTGCGCCGCGTGGCGGCCGAGGCGGCGGCGGGCGGCGGGGGGCGGGTGCTGGCGGAGGCCGACATTCGCGGCGCGGGGGTGACGGTGGCAGAGTCTCTGGCGGTGGCGGCGCTGGCAGGCATGGGAAACGTGCTGCTCAAAAAGTGCGGCTGGGCTGCCTGCGCTGCCTGCGGGGTGTGCGGGGGACGGCACATGCCGGCCGGCGGGCCTGCCGTGGCCGCGCCGGCGGCGCGCGCGGCCTGGCCGGGTGGCAGGTGCCGGGGGTGCGTGCCGCCTCCGCCGTGGCGGCGCCGCGTGCCTGCTGGTCTCCTCACCGCGCCTGCCTCCCCCCCCCCTGTGCCTGCCCCCTCCTCCCTGCAGCCCCATCTGGATGGTGGCCACCCGCATGCAGGCGCAGGGCAGGGCCCAGGCGGCGGCGGCGGGGGAGGGCGAGGTGCAGGTGGCGCCCAGCAAGCCGGGCATTGTGGCAGGTGGGGCGCAGCCGCCGCCGCCGCCGCCGTTGGAGACTCCATCAGCCTCCATCAGCCTCAGCGCTTCGCCGCCCCGGCCATGTCCTTTGCACCCGCCGCTTCGCGTATCCCTGGCGCCAACTGTGCCGCGCCCGCCTGTTGTACCGCAGTCGCCCGCCAGGTGTACTCCGAGTACGGCGTGCCCGGCTTCTGGAATGGTACCGCCGCCAGCCTGGTGATGGTGGTCAACCCCACCCTGCAGTACGCGCTGTACGAGTGGCTGCAGGCGGCACGCGCCAGGCTCAGGTGCGCACGCCCCACCCCTTGCCACGCTGCCCGCCCGCTCCTCGCCTGCCAGCACCAGGCAGGCACGCCCCCCGATCCGCCGCCGCCACCCCGCGCCCCAAGCGTGCCCGCTCCTCCCTGCCTTCTTGCTGCTGCAGGCAGCAGCGCGGCGGCAAGGCGGGCCCCGCAGCGCGCGCCACCGCGCTCGAGGTCTTCCTGCTGTCGGCACTAGCCAAGGCGGGCGCCACGCTGGTCACCTACCCCATGATGAACATCAAGACTCGCATGTACACAGCCAGGCGCGGCGACGGCGGCGGCGGCGGCGGCGGCGGCGGCGGCCACCACAGCAGCATCCTGCGCGCCGCCGCCGAGATTGCGCGCACCGAGGGTGCGGCAGCGGCGGGGCCCCTCCTGCCCCTCCCCACACCACTCGCCTGGCTGGCACGACGCCGTCACTGCCATGTGCCACAGCGGCCCGACCTGCGCGCCCAACACCCCCTCCCCCAACACCCCAACACCCACCCCCACACCCACGTGCCCGCAGGGGTGGCCGGCTACTACCGCGGCCTGCGCACCAAGGTGGTGCAGAGCGTGCTGGCGGCGGCGCTGCTGTTTGTGGCCAAGGAGAAGATCACAGAGGCGGCCAGGGACCTGCTGCAGGCGGCGGCGGGGGGCGGCGGCCGCGGCGGCGCGCGGCGGGCGCCCAAGGCGGTGGCGTGAGCTGGCCGGCAGCGAGGTGGGCGCAGGCGAGGCCTGCTGGCACAGCGGTGTAAAGTTACAGAGCAGGGTTGGTTGGCTTGCGGGGCGACAGGGGGCTGAGTGCACAGGGGCGAGGCAGGGGGGCGCGTGGGCGCAGCTTTGCAGAACAGGGCCCAGCGGGAGCACAGAACGGGGGGAGATCAGGATTGCAGAAAAAGCCCTGGCAGGGAGGCGCGGAACATGCGGCCGCTGGAGTGGCAGAAATGGCAGGAGAGGGCACAGGCAGATTTGATGGGTGCCAGGGCAGAACAGGGCAGAACGGGGGTGGACAGAACAGGGCATGCAGACAGGGCCCTGCAGGGTGCGCTGCATCCCTGGTGAGGGGGAGCGGAGTACACGGGGAGGGGTACAGAACAAGGCAGTCCTCTGATCCGGTGAGGGCGGGGGAGGCGCCGCCGGGCTGCCCAGCGTGGGCAGGTTGCAGCGGACGGTGCACCGGCAGGGTGCGCCCTCCTGCCGCCAGCAATTGCACGGCATCTCTTCACTTGAGCCTGGCGTAGCGCAGCAGGGCGGCGGCGGCCCCGAGCTTCTTGGCCGCCGTCTTTGCTGCCGGCTGGTCACCTAGCTGGGCGTAGCGCGCCAGCGCCTGATGCTCGGCAGCCTTGGAGGGGGCGGCGGGGGTGCTGGCGGCAGGCGCCCCCAGCTGGGCCAGACGCCACAGCGGATTCCTGGTGACGGCAGCTGGCAGGCGGCCGGTGCGGGCCGCCGCAGGTGCCGCAGCGCCAGCGCCGGCGCCTGCGCGCCCTGCTTCCTGCGCTGCCGGCTGCGCCGCTGCGCGGCCGCCCCACACCGGCGAGGCAGCAAAGCTGGGGCTCTGGGAGGGCCTCGCCGCGGCAGCAGCCGACTTGAGCAGGGTGCCCACCACGCCGGGTGAGCGGCCCGCAGCGGCAGGCGGCGCAGCCACGCTGGATGCGGCAAAGGAGGGCTTCGCCCCGGAACCGTCGAGGTTGCCGCGCTGCGCAACCGGCTGCTTAGTCTGGGTGGCCTTGGAGGGGGCGGCAGCCTTGGCGGGGAGGGCGCCTGCTGGGTGGCAAGCAGCGAGGTGGCAAGCAGCGTTGCAGCGAGGAGGCATGTGGCGTGGCGGAGCGGCGTGGCGGGTGGCGGGGGCTTGGCTCACCTGCGTCAGCCAGCCTCTTCCCCGCCACTGCGGCCGCGTTGGATTTGCTCCTGACGTTCTTGGCCATCGTCTTGGTGTGCCGGAAGCCCATGACGAGAAGCTCCCGACGCGGCATGGTGGCAAACAGAACCCTGTCCCTGCCGCGGCTCCCTTGGGAGGGAGAGACTCGCGCGAGGAAGGGCGACAGCAGCCGGGGAGGGTTCGCCGAGGAACAACACCATTGCCAGGCACAGCGCAGCGTGCTCGGGTGTGCATTGATGCTTGCGGCACACAGCATCCTTCCTGCATGCAACCGCAAGGTCAGATGCTCCCACTACAACTCTTCTCCATACTGGCACTCTTCAGCTCGCTTCAGGCCTCTCCCTGGGCATCTCACACACCTCGTGCCGCCGTCACGGCGGCGGGACACGCACACGTGACAGAGGTGCTGCCCTATGCCCAGCCGGCCGAGCCTGCTGCACCACAACTCCCTGTTAGTGATACAGCCGGGAATCAATTGATCGTTACCACCCCTGCATTGCCGCATGCTGTGAACGCTGCCGCCGTCGCCTCAGCGGCGCCCATTTGGCAGTGGCGCCTGCCAGCCCAGGTCCTTTCCCACCATGAGCGTTTGGGGCAAGCCGGCCGGTGGAGCGTGGGCTGACAATGTAGACGAGGAGGAGGCCGCTGGTGAGTGTCTGGGTGAATGGGTGGGCCGGCTGCAGCAGCAGGGGCGGCGCAGCACACTGTGGGGTGCACCCTGCGTCCATGCAGCGCCGGGACAATGCACCAGGCCCCTGCCGGCCTACGCCGCACTTTGCCGCATGCTGGTGCACGCGTGCCCCGCCTGCATGCGAGCGCCTGGGCGGCCCACAGCCCCGCACAGCGCCCTGGACCTCAATGCGGTCCCCCGCTGCGCTGCTGCAGGGGTGCACGCACCCCCCAAAGCCTTCCCCACGCTGGGCAACGCCGGCAAGGCCGTGGCTGACGACGACTTCCCCGACCTGTCGGTCGCTGCCAAGGTCAAGGAGAGCAAGAAGAAGAAGAAGGCCCCCAAGCAGACGCTGTCCCTCACCGACTTCCTCAAGAGCGATGTCGGCGGCGGCCCCGGCCTCGGCTCCCGCCGCGGCGGCGACGTGGACATCCTCAGCCTGCCCACCCGCCCGCGCGGCGAGGGCGAGGAGCGGCCCGACAGGCCGCTGGGTGGCGGCTTCCGCGATTACGGCGGCGGCCGGGACGGTGAGCCTGCAGCTGCTGCGGTTGGGCGGTCAAACACAAGCGTTGGGCCAGTCAAACCGCACCTCGCACAGCCTGCAGCTGGAGCGGGCAGGCACCTGCATTGCCTGCCGACAGCGGGAGCAGGGAGGAGGAGGAGGCAGGCAGCTAGCTGCTGTGGAGGGGCAGCCGGGCTGGGGACAGCACCGCCGCGCGGCCGGGCCCCCACCCACCCCCTGCCCCTGTCCCTGCCGCTCCCACCCTGCCCCGCCCGTGCCGCAGGCACGCGTGGCCGGTACGGCGACGACGAGCGGCGGCCGCGGCATGGCGAGGAGGAGGATATGGGTCCCTCCCGCGCAGAGATGAGCGACAACTGGGGCGCTGACCGCAAGCCCATGGCGGCCGGCGGCGACGACCGCGGGCGCGGCGGCTTTGGCGGCGGCTTCCGCGACCGCGACAGCGGCGGCTTCCGCGACCGAGACGGCGTCGGCGGCGGCGGCTTCCGCGACCGCAGCAGGTGGACGGCGCGCGCGGCTGGCTGGGCGCTGGGGCGTGGGTGGGCCTGTGGTGGTGGGTTGGCCAGGCAGGCAGCCAGCCAGCCAGCCAGCCAGCTAGGCTCTGCCAGGCTGCTGTTGGGCATGCGGCCGCGCGGCGCAGCGCTCAGCTGCTTTGGGCATACTTCAGCAGGCTCGGCGTCTGGCGGCGGCAGCGGCGGCAGCAGCGGTTGGCCGGCTCCCCCTGTGCCCCTCCACCCCTGCCACCCCTGCCACCCCTGCTACCCCTTGCCCTGCCTGCCGCGCCATGCAGGGAGGACTTCCCCGACGGCCCCTCCCGCGCCGACGAGGTGGACGACTGGGGCAAGAGCAAGCAGTTTGTGCCCGGCGGCGGCGGCGGCGGCGGCGGGCGCGGGTTTGAGGACCGCCCGCGCGGCGGCGGCGGCTTCCGCGAGCGCAGCCCTCACGACCCGCGGGAGCCGTCCCGCGCCGACACAGAGGACCGGTGGAGCAAGTGAGTAGGGGAGGGTGGCTGGCCGGGGGTGGACGCAGGCTGGCGGCCTGCTGGGCGGCGTGTGCCATCCCTGCCGACGTGCCGCCGCCCACCAGCCTGCCCCCAGCCTGCTCACTTGGGTTGGGTTCCCCCGCCCCCCCCCCCTGGGGCCTCTGGCGCCGACTTCAAGCCCACAGCCTTTGAGGACCGGCCGCGGCGCGAGTTTGACGACTACGCCCCGCCGCCGCGCCGCGGCTTTGGCTTTGGCGACCGCCCCGGCAGCCGCGAGCCCTCGCGCGACCGCTGGGAGCGCGGGCCCAGGTGGGCTGGGGCTGGTGGGAGGCAAGCGGGCGCGTGCTGTGCTCGCAAGTCCAGCCAGGCCCGCGCCTTCGGCACCTGATGCACGCGCCCCTCCCTGCCCGGCCTCGCCTGCCCTGCAGGGATGGCTCCCGGGACGCGCGCCCCCACAGCCGCGACCTCAGCCAGGAGCGCACCTGGAGGCCCGCGGGCGCGCCCGGCGGCGGCGGCGGCGACCCCGGCCGCGAGCGCCCGCGCCTCAACCTGGCGCCCCGCTCGGCGGCGGCGGCGGCGGGCGCGGCGGCTCCCGGCGGCGGCGCCAGCAACGCGTCTGTGTTTGGCGCCGCGCGGCCGCGCGAGGAGGTGCTGCGGGAGCAGGGCAGGGACGCTGTGAAGGAGGACCTGGCTCTCGAGCACGAGGCGGTGGACAGGTGGGGGGTTGGTGGCGGCAGCTGGCGCCGCGTGATCATCAGCTGGGCTGCTGGGGCCCTGGTGACAGCAGGGCAGCGTGGTGGCGTGTGTTGGCCCGCGGGCCTGCTGTCCCCTGTTGATGCATGCGCCCACCTGCCGCCCCCGCCCCCCACCCCCCCGCCCCCGCCCGCCTGCAGGCCGGAGAGCGCCGAGGAGGCTGCCCTGCGCCGCCAGATTGCCGACCTGCAGCTGCGGGTGGAGGCGGGGGAGGCGGATGCCGAGTACCAGGGCCAGGAGGGGCGGCAGGAGGCAGCTGGGGAGGAGGAGGAGGGCGGCAAGGATGGCAAGGGCGGCAAGGATGGCGAGGAGGAGGAGGAGGAGGGGCCGGCCAGGACTGTGGCGCAGACGCTGGAGGCGCTGGAGGCGCAGCTGCTCAAGCTGCAGCTGGATCTGGATGCCAGGGCCAAGTACGCTCGCTCGGCGGCGGCGCGCGACGAGGAGCACGCCAGGTCAGCGGGCAGCGTGGGCACAGCGTGGGGCGGCAGGGGCCCCGGGCCTTGAGGCCATAGCTGGCTGGCTGGGAAGCAGTGGCGGGGCGCCGTGCGGCCAGGCTCTTGCTTGCGGGCCGATGCGCGGTGCGTGCCTGGCCTGGGGTGCCGACGCTGCGCCGCTGCTGCGCCGCTGCTGGTGCAGGGAGCGGCCCCCCCGGGTGCGCGAGCCATCCCCCGGTGGCGAGGGCTGGCGCCGAGGAGGTGCGCGGGGCGCCGGCGCCGCCTGGCCGCCCCTCTGCCTGCCTGGCCCGGCGGGGTGTGGCGCATCGTGCGTGGGGCCGCCCAGTGGCTGCTGCACGCCTGAGGGCAGCCGGCAGCACTGCAGTCTGCAGCCTGCTGGCTGAGCCCTGGCCGCCCCGCCCTCCCCACCCCACCCCCTGGCCCCTGCAGCAGGCGACGGCGCCAACGGCGGCCCAGCGCCGCGCGGCTTCCGCGACGACCGCCCCGCCAGGCCCCCCAGCGGCGCGGCCGGCCACGACGACAGGCCGCCCCGCAGGTGCGCGGCTGCCGCGCTCGCCTGCTGCGCGCGCTGTGTGCTATGCTGCAACCAACCATCTGGCTCCCAGCTCCCAGGGGCCTACCGGGCTGTGGCGTGGTGCCGATCGGCGTGCTGCGCTGTGCTGTGCTGCGCTGTGCTGTGCTGCGCTGTGCTGTGCAGGGGCGGGTTTGAGGAGCGGGGCCGCCGCGACAGCTTCCCTCCCCGTGACCGTGACTCCAGCCGCGACAAGCCGCGCTGGTAGGGCGTGGTGTGGCAGGCGGGGCAGTCAGCCAGCCACCGACCCACCCGCACGCCCATCAACTGCTGAGGGAGCTGTGCGCTGCCGCAGCGGCTGGCGTGCAGCCCCGCCTGCAGGCCCGTCTGCAGCGCCCGCACCGCAGCCAGCACCTGTATGTGGTGCATTGAAGGAACGAATCTAGTGGCATCGTCAGTTTACATTTCTAACGGGCAGCGGGCGGTCAGGGTCTCCCCGCCCCTGCCCTTGTGCGCTCGTCAAGCCTTGCTGCGCAAGCTTGCTCCTCTGCAACCTCATTTTCCTGCTCTCCCCTTTTTGTTGCCTTTGTTTACGGGTCACAAGTACTGCATTCCTCGCAACTGCTGCAAGCGACACTTATGCGAGCAACAGAGGGGCTCAGGCAGCGGCCTGCGGCTCCTCCTCTTCCTGCTGGCCCGCCGCTTGCTGCTCTTGCTGCTCTTGCTGCTCCGCACCTGCCTGCTGCTGCGCCGTCACCCCACCCGCCGCAGCAGCATCTGCCGCCTCCGCTGCCTGCCCCTCCTCCACCGGCGGCGCCGCCGCCGCGGCGGGCGCCGCCTCTGCCTTGCTCTGCTGCCGCTGCGCCTCACGCTGCGCCTCACGCTCCTCCTCTGGCAGCGCCAGCGTGCGGATGTTGTAGCGGCACAGCTCCTTGAAGCGCTCCACCACCGCCACCCCGCACACCCCCTTGACCACATTCACCAGGATGGCCTTGTGGGGGGCGCCCAGGTTGACCTTGTGGGGCGCCTGCAGGTGCGGGGGCCAGGCGGGGGGGCCAGGCTTGAGGGGGGCCAGCCACGGGAGGCAGCAGGCACGAGGGGGCGGCAGCTGCTTGCTTGCGGCGCACAGGAAAGGGGCGCCACGCTGCGCGCGGCACGCCGCATGCAGCCCTCGCGCCGCGCCACCACCTCGACGCACGCACGCACACACACGCAGCCAGCCAGCCCGCTCACCGGCACGCGCGTGGCAAAGGCGTTGATGACCTCCATTCGGTCCAGCGGCGGCGCGGCGCGGGCGTCGTACACAACGGCAAACTGCGGGGCAGGGAGGCGGGCGGTCAGGCGGGGCGGCGGGGCGGTCAGGCAGGCGGAGGCGCAAAGGAGGCGGGCTGCGGAGCGCAGCGCATGACGGGGCACCGACCTGCCGTGCCACACGCCCGCGGCGCTCCCCACAGCGCCGCCTGATGCGCGGCCGCCCACGTGGGTACACCCGCCGCCCCACCCACCCCAGCAGGCCGCACACACGCCACCGCGCACTCCACACGCACACACACACGCACGCACACACACCTCTATGGGTTCCTGCGCATCTGCCGGGAAGTGGTCCCGTACCACCTGCGCCGCCAGCTCCTCGATCTTCTCCATGGACGCGTAGCAGGTGCGCTCCACGGGGTAGAAGCGGGAGCAGAAGCGGCCCGCGCCCTGCTGGCTGTCCGACACGCGCTGGCAGGCGTG